TGGCATAGCAGTGGGTATAAACAGCTCTTGGTTCAATGTCACAAATCTGTTTAGCAGCACCTGATTTTGAACCACTCATTGAGCTAGCCCCATCATAACACTGTCCACGAAGCTTATGTATTGACAGATTTGCTCTCAAGAGTACATCCTTAATAACAGCTGTCAATGTATTAGAATCAATTTTTCCAACTAAGTATCCAAGAAATTCTTCATGTACCTCCAATTCTTGTGTTACCCAACGAATGATCAAAGTAACCTGTTCATTATTGGTGGCATCTGTTGTTTCATCAGCCATAACTGTTAAAAATCGAGAAGTCTGAAGGTCTTCTGTTATATCTCGTAGTACCTGTTGAGCCATGACTTTAATCATTTCATTTTGAATCTCAGGGCTAGTATATACATTCTCCTTTCTTTTTAAACAGTTCAAATTAGTATCATCTTCAGCCTTAATCTTTAGGAGTTGATGCAAGTTGCTGTCAGACTCATCACTGTCAACCCTCATTGCAAGACCTTGTCGACACAGGAATCAAACACACGACAGGATATGAAGCAAAACCTGACTAATTTGAACTTTCTGTGTTGCATGTTCCAAAGAAAGTTGCTCCCCAATATTTCGTGTAGTAGATGGTAGAAAAATCATAACATCTACAGCTTCACGATGTGCTGCGTTGTTTTCATGTGCCCTAAAACAAATTGTTCCATCTTTCCAGTTTGTAAATCCAACCTCTACCTACAATAGTTTTATAATTGTAAACTTCACATGCATTGGTTTCAATACTCACAAAAGCTGGATCAGCTCTGCTGGTCTTGATTCTCTTTAATTTGAAAGCCATACAGCAAGTTATACAGTATACGCTATTTTCAGCCTCATTGCAATGAAGAAATGGCCATTTCTCAAACCAGGATTCTTGAAAACTCCTTTGCACGACTTTAGTTTTTCCAAAAGAACACATTGGAAAGATATAATCAACTGGTTGGTGTGGTTTTTTAATTTCAACTGTAGATCTAGATGTTGCAGAACAACTTGTAGTAGCCTGCATAAGTTGTAGGGAGGATGAAGCCATTTTTCAATATGTGCAGTACACACCTCTTGTAGTATGTAAATAATTCATGCAATAAATTAATTATTGGCATAATAATAACAACAATGATAATGTAAACAATAGTTACTAGTTAGTTAACTTTAATATAAACGCCCCCTTGACACCATTTTCGATTTTTGATCTGGCCAAAACCGTAGCAACCGTACCGTCTGCTACGGCCCTGATTGAGGTATTTTAACAATATAGTATTGAGGTATATTTTTCACCAATATTGTACAGCCCTACCTACAGCAAGGTTCTTGTCTCTAAAACTATTTTGCAAACAGTTATATGTACAACAAAATCAATATTTTTTAATATCCTTTAGCTTTTGTAACAAACTCATACTTCATAGAAGTGGCAGTCTCGTTTTAGCTCTGTCTTAACTGTTTCTCTCTCCTCACTATACAAAGCTCTGTAGTGACTCTCACATTCATTATTATTCATTTCATTTTTGCAACTACACATGCGCATAACTTTTTGATATACATGTTATATTATTCATTTTTTTCCTCATTTCTCACTTTTCTCCCTCTCTAAATCTTGATTAATCGTAAAGATAATTACTAATTGGCTAAGAATAATAGTTGGACATAATATAACTGCCTACATTGGTGACCCGGACGCTGCTTTTAATAGTTATTTGTCTCTCTACACTACTTGTGAGAATGTCTCACTCTGCCGGTAATAGTCCTACTTCCAGTCCACCTCCCCGCTCATCTTTCATCGATGCACACATCACCACAGTCACTGTGAAGTTACCTCCATTCTGGCCCAACAATCCTGAGATGTGATTTGCGCAAATAGACTTTCATTTCACTACCAAACGCATCACCTCACAAAAGATAAGGTTCGACCACGTGGTTGCTACTCTTGCTCCTGAATACACTACAGAGGTAAGAGATATCATTATTAAGCCTCCTACTACCAATCCGTATGATACACTATGCACGCAACTCATTGAACGCACTTCTGCCTCAAAGCAAAGGCATTTACAACAATTATTCAGTGCAGAAGAGCTCGGTGATCGTTCCCCTTCTCAGCTCCTTCGTCACATGCAACAATTACTAGGTGACAAGGTTGCTTCAACCAACAAGTCTTTCTTTAAAAATGTACTCGTCGGCTGCCACCCGAATGTCTCTCAATTGCCCAATCAGGAATCGACCACATGCTCAAACTCAGGATCATTCAGCCATCATCAAGTGGGTGGTCCTCAGCACTTCATATGGTCCCTAAAAAAACTGGTGACTAGAGACCATGTAGAGATTACAGAGCATTAAATAGAGTCACAGTACCCGATCGCTATCCAATCCCACATATTCAGAACTTTTCGTCTACTTTACATGGTACTACTATTTTCTCAAAACTCGATTTAATCAGGGCTTATCATCAAATACCAGTGGCTAGTGCAGACATTCACAAGACCGCTATCACTACACCTTTTGGTTTGTTTGAATTTACTTGTATGCCGTTTGGTTTATGTAATGCTGCTGAAACATTCCAGAGATTCATAGACAGAGTACTTCATGGCCTCACATTCACATATGCTTATATAGATGACGTACTCGTAGCTAGTACTAATGAAGAGGAGCATAAGAAGCATTTTACTCTCGTTTTTGAAAGTTTCAGAGATTATGGTGTAGTTATTAACCCTAACAAATGCGAACTTGGTAAACCATCTCTCGAATTATTGGGACACATTGTAGACAAAAATGGTATTCGACCGGTTGACTCTAAGGTTGCTGCAGTCAAGGATTTCCCTAAAACACGTCAATTACAAAAGTTTTTAGGAATGATCAATTTCCACCATCGTTTCCTTCCTAATGTAGCTAAAATACTAAATCCACTACACCCAACTCCTCACTCATACTCATTCTAAAATCGAACTCGTGTGGTCTGATGGTACTAACTCAGCATTTATTGAAGCCAAGAGAAGTTCTCTAAAGCTACTACACTCTCGCATCCTGTCCCTGATGCTGTTACAGCTATCATGATGGATGCTTCAGATATAGCTACTGGAGCAGTTCTTCAACAATTTCATAGTGACCATTGGCAACTGATAGCATATTATTCACATAAACTCTCCTCTTCAGAACAAAAATACAGCACATTCGATTGTGAATTGTTCCCAATTTATTGAGCTATTAAATATTTCCGTCACTTTGTCGATGGGCGCACATTTTCTGTATTCACCGATCATAAACCACTCCACAAACTTATTCTCTACACACTAACTCTAATAATTATTCTCCACGTCAACTCAGGCATTTGGATTTCACATCACAATTCACTAGTGACATCCAGCATATTCCTGGTACTGAAAATCCAGTTGTAGATGCCCTCTCAAGAGTTGAAATAAATTCTATCGACCATGCCCCCATAATTGATCTAATTGATCTAGCAAACGCTCAGGACAGCTGTAAATTTTTGAACTCTGAAAACCCTGAACACTCTACACAATTAACTACTTGTACCTTATCAGACTCAGACAGTACTATCATTTGTGACTCGTCTACTAGTAAACTCCACCCAGTTGTCCCTCCCACTCATCGTAATTCTATTTTTCAGTCAATTCATTCTCTCTCTCATTCGGGAATTAAAGCTACTCAAGGGCTAATCTCTTCTCGTTTTGTTTGGCCACACATGAAGTGTGACATTAAACAGTGGACTCGTTTATGTATACAATGTCAATGTTCAAAATTACAAGACATACTGTTGCACCTCTTTCCTTATTTCCTCTTCCTGACACTTGATTCGACAACATTCATGTCGACATCGTTGGTCCACTTCCTCCTTCTAATGGCTATACTTACTTAGTGACTTGTATTGATAGGTTCACTCGATGGCCAGAAGCAATCCCCACCTCTGATATTACCGCTTCTACAGTAGCTAAAGTAATCGTTTCAGGATGGATATATCGATTTGGTTCTCCATCTACTATCACTAC